GGCCCCCGCCTGGCCTCCGAGGACTCGGAACATCTGGCAGCACCCAGGCGCCTACGCAGCCATGGCTTTCACCAGCCAGGTCTGAACAGCAGGGGGGCTCCCCAGGAGAAACATTCTGATGGGGAGAAGGGACCTTTCTAACCGGCATGCCGGCTACTGGAGAGCTGGCGCGAGGTCCCCATTCTGTAACCCGGTTAAATGGGGGCTCCTGCCTCTACGGCAGATCCAGGGGTCTGCCCACATGGTGCTCTTGTGGGGGCAGGGCACCAGTCAGCGGGTGCCCAGTTCCTCGCGTTCTCTCAGACTCTGCACCCACCTCCAAGCCTCTGCACCTGCCACCCCCGCCCCGCTCAGCTCAGATGTAGCCGGTCCCCATCGAGGTCTTGTCACAGCCCCTCGGTGTCGCTCACCTGTTTCTCCACAACCCACTCAGCACCGAGAAGCAGGCTCCTCCGTGCAAATCCTGCCCAGCCCTCCTCTGCTGCGTGAGCCTGGGTTGGCACTGTCAGTGGGCACTCTGTGGGCAGGAGGAGGCTTGCTCTTATGGCCTATGGACATGGGGTCAGGAGGGACCAGTCCCTGGAGAAGGAGGCCATCTGGGTCCAACACAGGGTCGGCTGAGAGGAAGACCCCCCAGGGAGCCGTGCTGTGTTCTGTTGTCCACGGGTCACTGAGCCAGAGCTGATTGGACGGCACCGAATGACAACAGTGGGACCCCAGGGCGCTGCTGTGGGACCGGCTCGGAGTGGGTGTAGCTTGCCATTACACACCCCACCATCTCCAGGGCCCCAGAGCTGGGGACACCCAGGGGACCGGGCATCCTGCCACAACAGGTCTTGACGGGCCCAGCAGAGCCCCTTTACCAATGAGGCCTGCCCACAGTCGTCTTCCCAGGGGCTGCTGTGTGAGGCCTCCCCACACCCCGAGGTGCAGCTTCCGGCCAGCAGCACTGTGGCTCGCTCCAGTCTGCCCCATCCAGCACCCTCCACCAAACCAGAGAGGTGGGCCCCACGTGGAGGTCACTGGCGGCCCCACTGCGTCCTCCTTTTCCTCTCTGATGAACCTGCCCAGGGCCCACACTCCCTCACAGCCGGCTGCCAGTGTCACTGATCTCAGTCCATCCCCCATCACCCCTCCCCCCTCAAGGCCTTCCTGTCACCACGCTGTCCCCACTCAACAGGGACCACAGGGTGACTGACCCAGAGCCCTGCCTATCCTGCCTGGCAGCTGGGCCTGCTCCTCACAGGAGGCCCCCAGTCCTGGCCCCTCCTCCAGGTCAGGTCAGTGGTGGGGCAGGGGCACTTGGACCTTGTGGGGCTGCCTGGCTCCTACTGCTGTGTCCATCCTGGGTGCCCAGGGCTGCCCATTCCATCCCCTGTCCCCACAGCCAAGCTGCCACACCAGAGAGCACTGTCTTGAGACGCCTAACCTCATGATGACGTGTGTGCTCCCGGATGCCACTGCCCAGCCTGGAAGCCCTGCCCCAGAGCGATCTGGGGTCCTGTCCCCAAGTCCCAGCCAGGCACTGGTCCTGCCCACCCACGTGCCCACTGGCAGTGGGTGCTGGTCCCTCTACCACTCACCCAGCCTCCAGAGGGCGGCTGGCTCCCCCGCACAGGCCCCCGCCCCCTGTGGGCTGGTGACCAGGACCATGCAGAGCGTGCTCACTCGCTCAGCAGGCTTGCAGACCCGCCCACGGGCAGGTGGGCAGGTGCTGGCAGTGCCGCATGCGCGTGTGCACTCACCGTTGGAGCGGTGGATGCAGGTGTGCTGGTTGTCGCTGAGGAAGAAGCCGCCGTGGCACTGGCACTCGTAGCTGCCCATGGCATTGACGCAGATCTGCTGGCAGCCGCCGTTGTTGTCCTGGCACTCGTCCACATCTGGGGGGAGGGGGTGGAAGTCACACCTGGAGCCGGGGGGAGGCAAGCACCCCCAGACTGCGATGGAGGTACTCCCGGGGCGCTCCCCAGAGGTGCTCCCTGGAGATACTCCTGGGAGAACCTCCTTTCCCAAGGGCTCCCCACAGGGATACCCTGCAGGTGTTCCCTGATGGTCCTTCCAAGCGGTCCTCCCAGGGGGTACTCCACAGAGATGTTCCCCACAAACACTCCTGGGAGTGCTCCCTGTAGGTACCCTGGCAGTGCTCCCTGGGGGCACTCCTGGTAGTCCTCCTTGGGGATTGCGTTGGTTTGGGTAGACTAGAGAAACCAACCCACAGGCACTTACATGTGTATAAGAGCTTTATATAAAAGAGCAACTGTATATTGAGGAAACATCCCAGCCTAGTCCAGATCAAGTCCATAAGTCTGATATTAGTCCATGTGTCTGATCCAATC